GCAGTGGATCTAGGGGAGCTTGGAATTTTATTAATTGAATACCTCCATTTCTTATTCTTGATTTCTTCTACTATATTAGCATCATAGCTTTTCTTCACAATATTTTTTATAATTCTTCTAATTGATGAAAATGGTACTTTGGCATTACCTGCCTGCAAAATATCTGTTCCCCTCTTTGCTAATGTATCAGCCCATTCGTTACCATTTATTCCTACATGAGATGGAATCCACTGCAGAACAACAGTCCTTCCCTCAGAAGCTAGGAGATTAATATTTCTTCTGCAGGAGTCAATAATATTTGACTCTGCAACATTATGTGCAGCAATAGCCTGGATGGCTGATAGAGAGTCTGAAAAAATAACTATGTTGTCAATCTGAACTGATCTTACCCTGATTTGTTCTGTTGCAATTCTAATAGCCTCCAGTTCTCCATTAAAATTGGTTCGCAATTGACCAAGGGTGGCATAGAACGCAAAGAGTTCTGAATACACACCAACACCAACGTTGTCAAGCATTTTCGATCCGTCTGTATAGATGTGAATCCAATTACTTTTTGGAGGATACCTGGTATAAATTGTCTGTATAGCAGCTGCTTTTAGTTCACAATCGAGTGCTGAGGATTTTGTCATAGCAGTCATCAAATTACATTCCTTTCTAATATATCTCATGAAATTAAATGAATTAATTTTAGTAATAGGTTATAATCGAAGCAAAAAGAAATCATATGAACAAGAAAGTAAACTGAATGGATAACCGGTATTAATACTTTAGAGAGACGTAAATAAGCGTCATACCATTATTGAACTACTTCTAAAGTTATTTGGAAGAAAAGACTGGTCGAATATGAAAAAATAATTGCTCAACTCTTATATTTTAATTTTATTGAAAATGTAAATAAAAATCTTAAATGAAGCTTATTCTAGCTGCAATGTGTATGTATACTCTATGTATTCCTATATTCACTTTGATCAATTGCAGAGTGCAATAACTTTAAAAGGAGAGCGTAGTACTTTGAAAATATTAATTTCATAATGAAAATACCATTTTTATATTTGGTTCAGCGAGAATAAATAGCGAAAGTAAATAAAGTCACCTGACAGTTGGCATTAGTTTCTGCTGATAACAACAAGGTTAAAACAAACAGCTTTAATATGAATAATAGTTAGTACAGAAAGAATAACCGATTCAGGAGAAGACAGCAAAAGTGGGTATTGACTGCAATAAACTCATTCATTCATTTATTAACAAAAAATTGGGTACCTGGGCCGCGCAGCGGCCCCTATACCATACATCATGAATTAAAAACATTGTGTGAAAACATTTTGATTTTGCAACATTATGGTATGCAATGATAAAAAATAAAAAGAGAAAAATTAACATAGATATTAAAAATTGATTATTTACATTATGTGAAATTATGATTGTGATTTTTATTTACATAGTGATATAATTTGTAGCAGGATATTTCTATTGATTTATTATATTATATTATTTTTAGTGTTCTATAGAGTTCATAGTTTATATTTTTGATTTTTCACAGATGATTTGGATGAGCTGCAGGATGGCCATGGTTGATGAAGTTCAGGTTGATTTGAGGATGTTCGTGATTTTTTCTGACGTCGATGATTTTATTCACTGTGATGATTCTGCTGATCTGGTGACTGCAATAAACTGCAAACCTTAATCTTCATTTCCACTCTCAGAAAAAAGTTTAGTAGTGGTATTTTTACACTGAAATTAAAATTTTCACACTCTTGCTGCCTTTTTTTTTTTTTAAGTTGTCGCATTATGCAATAGATCCCAATAAATTTAAGAGCGCAAATAGTATACATATATATTGCAACTAGTGGTAGTAAGTAAAATAAATGAAGGAATACAGTAGCAAAATAAAAAACAAACCACCCTAAATAACTTTCGATCTAATGATCGGATCTAGTTCTAGTCTAGTTCCCAGATTACATTCTAGGACTCAATCTTAATGATTCAAGGGGGGGGGGTCTTTAATATGCTAATTAATAAGTTGCAGACGATATTTTAAGTTACAAAATCAGACACAAAAACTACTTTCTCGAATGAACATACCTTTTTTTCGACTGATTCGACCCAGGGCTAAAGAGAATAGAAGGGC